AAGGTGTAAACCAGAAGGAGACGGGAGTAAGAAAGGAACTAATTCGTTTACCCGAAGTTTAAGGAGTAGTTGTAATGTGGTTTAATATCACGTCACACTGGTGTCACTTTTGAGCCTGACAGATTCTGACTCAGCGATGGTTCCAAGAATAAGCCGTGAATTACAAACAACAAGATGCTTTCGTAAAAATTAAACATTGCATTGAAAGGATAAAACAGAATAGGATAGATGATATAATAGTCATGAAAGTACTTACCTGTGTTTTCCTTTTGTTTTTTTTTTTTTCCACAAACGGGCTTGCTCTCGCAAAGCTATAGACATCAGAGCGAGGGACGAGGAGAGGGCTTTCTTAACAAAGGTTTTGCACAACTTTTGAGCCTAAAGGACCAAGCCCTTTATACCCTTTTGATATCTATACCACTTCTGACCAAACAGATAACCGCTCCTAGTCCTATTGATGGCACAGAATTTACTGAAAACAATGCATAGCATGCAGGAACGATATCCTACGACGTGAACCGGTGACAGTTATGTGATTTTCATATTGTCTCCAATGATGAATAACGATTACAAAAATATCATTTGTGGTAACGTCGTATACGGCTCCTGGTACATGGAAAAACAGTCTTCCTCACCCACCCCCCCCCCCCCTTTTTTCCGGAGGGTTCCCCGTTGGTTTTTAAAATTAAAAGAAACAAACGTGTTTTCGCCCGAATTCCAGGGTTAATTTAAAAAAAAAAAAATTTAATTTTTTTTTTGATTGGTTTATGTCGTGTGGGCCCAATTTAAAAAAATGATTATTGTTCTGAAGCCCCCGCCGCCATTTNTTTAGACTGAATCATGGCGTATGCGCTCAATTCAGAAAAGTGATACTCGATCTGAATCCCCGACGACGTTTTCCTGTTCTGAATCCAGTCCGGAGTCAAATTTTACTTTGGTCCTACTAACAAATTAAATGAAAACAACTCGTTCATCTCTTTCAATACCAAGGGTCTTAGAATTTAAGGTCAAACAACTTTCCGTATCAAATGCCACTATTTCACAATATTTCACATTTTGCATGCGTGTTGGTATGTCCTTTTCTACTATACATGTTGAAAACCAATAGCTAGTTTCCAACGTGAATTGTTACGAGAAGCAAAAAAAAGCTCAGTTATCGCCGGCACATATCATGTTGGAGAAAAAGTTGGAAGCTTACGCAATAAGAAACTTCACAATGTTGACAATAATCCGGGACAATAATCCACAAGCATGAAAGGAATGTCGTCAACAGGCGGTTAAACTTTGTACCTGCCAGATACGCAAGTGTGCGGGCGAAGGGGAGCACATGTTCGCCTCGGGGAGATTGGTTGTGTGGAGAAGAATAGAAGGAGTGGTATTTGCCAACGTCAAAGAGTCGAGAGTGTGCCAATTTTTAGGAAATCTATACTTCGCGGGTGATTGGTGTGAGAATCCTATTTTCTTCTGTTGCAATAGTCTTCAACAAACGGAAACGCTAACAGTTGGTATTTATTTTGATGCTTGTCTTGTTTTCTTTGATTAAAAAACTCTCGTATTTTTTGATTCCTTTTTTTACTTCCCAGTTAATGTTTGATTTCCGAAATTTGTCCCTTTTCTAAAATGGCACTTTTGATTTCAAATGCTTACTGAATATTTCGCAGTCGAAACAGGGCTAATGGGACTACAGCCTGCGAAAGCTTGCTAAGGGCAGACGTATTTCCGGTCGTCGCTTCTCTCCCTCCGAAGAGAAGCGACGACCGGAAATACGTCTACGCGTCTCAGGCTAATGGGACTGAGGAAGTCAAGAAAAAGAGGCGGAAGCCGGGAATGCAAAGTACTGGAGGTTGGGACATCCCTGACGCGCACCCCCCCCTCCCCAAAAAGTACTGTATGTCTTACAAAGATTTTTCTGTCAGCTGTAGGAGATGAGAAATCGCTCATTGTTATTTTACTCAGTAATTGGTTATTCTCGACTAAATGCCACTTGATCGTTAGAATCTTTTAAAGACCAGGCACTGGTGGGTTGCACTAATTAATTTACTCTGGCTTTAAGTTATTGTGGGTGGATTCTAGGAAAATGTCCCTTGTAGAGGACTTGTGTCTTTTTCTGCTCAATCTGAAAAAACTAAATAAATCTTAAGTATTTGGCCACCCTTCCTCTCGCGATTGCGAGCTCCTCCCTGGCCCCAGATATCCTCATCGCATGTCGTGGCCCGAGGGTGATGAAACCTGTTAAAGAGGCGTTATTGCGAGCGCCGAGTGGGGGGGGAGGGGGGCGTAAATAGGGGCGCGAAGGTGTAACGAAGCAGGTGGAAGTTTATCCCCGATCTGTGATCAAAAATAGTTTGATAGAATAATCCTAAAAACTCTCAAACATAAGCTCGATATTTGGAACAAATTGCCTAAAATACTGAAATACTTTTGCCGGCCATGGGGAGCATAGAGGCGGGAAGATCGTTTTCATCTCTTGGGAGGATCCATACTTGGCTTTGCAACACAATGAACACCGAACGAACTCCATCGCCATTCATGCAGATAAAGTTTCCATCAATAAAAGGCTGGTTTGGGAGACATTTATGGCGCACAACCGCAGACTAATGATGGCGACTAACAAGTTTCTTGTAACAGTTTAATCTGCACTGTTTTTCTGTGTTATGCTTGATATCGTATTCTGCGATTGAGGGTATGCGAATTTAGCGCTGTAGTATGTGGCGTTGCGAGATCATGCGGTGTTAACCGACATGGAGACAAACAAAGCAAAGAACATTCAAAGAACATTCAAGGTGGCTAAATTAAAATATGGAAGGAGTAAAAAATAAAAATAATAAAAGAGAGCATCAAGGGGGTTGACAGAGAGAGACATGGCAACAGCTGAGGCAGCCAATCACAGCGGCCGGATTTAATCACCCTGTTTATGACAGAAGGATCTTGGATTTCGATTGGCCGGGGTTCACCTGTTAATGGTTATCTCCTATGTTAGCTGGCGAGGAGGAGCCGAGATAATTCATTTTGGGCAGAACGCAACCGGCCTACCAGCCTCTACACCCAAACCTCAATTTCTGGATCCATCCATTTTAGATACAAAGTTGATATCTTAGCCAAAATAAGAAGTATCCGTACGATAAAAAGGAGGGGGGGGGGGTGCATAGGCCTCCAAACTCTCCCACCCCGTCTACATCCACCTTTGCTTCTTCAGTCCCATAAGCATTTTGCTGAAGGATGGACAGTTTGATTTACTAAGGAATGAGGCCAGGCCGACATGTTACTGGTGTAACGGAACTTTAATAACATCATTTTAAAAACCAAGGCTACGTACAATAATAAACAGGAAACCTGAAAATGTATCAGCCACTATATGTACAAAAAATTCTAAAATGGCGCTTACTGTAAATCAGTGAAAGCATGATCACATTAAGCTAATAACACGCCTATAGGAAAATTTCTTAATGTACATATCATATGCAGCTCTATACGTACCTTACGAGCAGTGGTTTAACTACTGCTCGCAGGACAATGTATGCATGGCTATCTAACTTGATCATATATGTCTATGATCAATTTGTGAGTGTCGCCATTATGGAATACTTTTCAGAGTTAATAGTAAAGCGTCATTTACATATGAACTGTTTTAGTTTGTTTAAATACACATTGTTAATATGACGTTGCTATGTTTACGCAATACTATATAAAGCCACCGTGTCCAAAAAACAATTTTCCGTAGTGTTAGTTATANATAAACAGGAAACCTGAAAATGTATCAGCCACTATATGTACAAAAAATTCTAAAATGGCGCTTACTGTAAATCAGTGAAAGCATGATCACATTAAGCTAATAACACGCCTATAGGAAAATTTCTTAATGTACATATCATATGCAGCTCTATACGTACCTTACGAGCAGTGGTTTAACTACTGCTCGCAGGACAATGTATGCATGGCTATCTAACTTGATCATATATGTCTATGATCAATTTGTGAGTGTCGCCATTATGGAATACTTTTCAGAGTTAATAGTAAAGCGTCATTTACATATGAACTGTTTTAGTTTGTTTAAATACACATTGTTAATATGACGTTGCTATGTTTACGCAATACTATATAAAGCCACCGTGTCCAAAAAACAATTTTCCGTAGTGTTAGTTATAGTTCGCAGAATCTTGATCAATACCAAATTGTACTATGTAAAGCTATAATACATCACATGTAGCTATACTGTATGCACAACTATCTCAAATGAATAAATACAGTGTCTATCAATTTAACCCAGTCTCCACAATCGCATTCCTGGAGATTTTTAGTTACGCGTTTTCCATATGAACCTTTTAACATTTGAAATCACAACCTGTTCAAGTCACTATAAAGACATAGTAGTGTCCAAAAACAATTTCGCTTCACTTAAAACTGAAAGTATTATGAAAGTAATACAACAGAAAATCGAAGGGCTGCGAGATTGCTTTGAAGTTACCTGATCACTGAGAAGCTTTACAGAAAAAGAAAAAAAAAACTTCTTTTTAAGGCTCCAAAAACGCCACTGAATCCAGACTAAACTCAGCGCTATTCAGGGAAAAACCAACACATGTTTAAATAGATTAGATAAGCGTACTTAAAAGAACGTTGTCATTGGCTTTAAGATACTTTTAGCTTCCTGGGTTATTTTATTACTAAAGAGGTTTGGGTAGTATAGCGGGATGTAAAATCCTCGAGAGATACCAGATGACCGATGCAGGAATTAAACGCTTCACTGCAGCACTCACATACACTAAGCTGAAACGTCCATAGTACTAATGAAGACACTAATGAAGGATTTAAGCATTTAAGTACTGTATCCCGCTAAACTACCCATACATTAACATGTTTTTAGTTCGCAAAAACCCTGATTGTATTCGTTGCCAGGTAACAACTTCGTAATCTCAATACATCCTAGCGACTGAAAGTTGTTGAAGCTTAAATCAAAATCCAAAATTCCTTCAACAGAAAAACATTGACACAGGTTTAATGGATTAGAATTTTACTTTACAGTTTATGTTCATTGAGTTTAGGAGATTTTTACCTTTATCAGTTATGTTGTTACCCCAGAGGCCTAAGCTCTTTAGTTTGCAGTTAGTGTGTGTGAGTGCTGTAGATAAATGTTTAACCCCATTAGTTATGTTGTTATCACCGAGGTTTAAGCTGATTAGTTTGCAGTTATTGTGTGTGAGTGCTGTAGATAAATGTTTAACCCCTTCATCAGTTATGTTGTTATTCTCGAGGTATAAGCTGTTTAGTTTGCAGTTAGTGTGTGTGAGTGCTGTACATAAATGTTTAACAGCTTCATCAGTTATGTTGTTACCCCCGAGGTTTAACCTGTTTAGTTTGCAGTTAGTGTGTGTGAGCGCTGTGGATAAATGTTTAACTGCTTCATTAGTTATGTTGATATGACTGAGGTCTAAGGTGTTTAGTTTGCAGTTAGCGTGTGTGAGTGCTGTGGATAAATGTTTAACTGCTTCATGAGTTATGTTGTTGTGACTGAGGTCTAATAGGGTGTTTAGTTTGCAGTTAGTGTGTGTGAGTGCTGTGGATAAATGTTTAACTGCTTCATGAGTTATGTTGTTATACCCGAGGTTTAAGCTGTTTAGTTTGCAGTTAGTGTGTGTGAGTGCTGTGGATAAATGTTTAACTGCTTCATCAGTTATGTTGTTATTCCCGAGGTTTAAGCTGTTTAGTTTGCAGTTAGTGTGTGTGAGTGCTGTGGATAAATGTTTAACTGCTTCATCAGTTATGTTGTTATTCCAGAGGTCTAATCTTTTTAGTTCGCAAAAACCCTGATTGTGTTGGTTGCCAGGTAACAACTTCGCAATCTCAATACATCCTAGCGACTGAAGGTTGTTGGAGCTTAAATCAAAATCCAAAATTCCTTCAACAGATTTAAGTGCATGCACTAATGCTAAACAGTCAAGAGGTGACAGGTTACATCCAACAAAATCAAGCGCATTACAACCAATTTTCGCCAGTTTCTTTTGAACTTCTCGATCAGAGGCATTGTTCTCACACATGCAGTTGAATAGCGTTACCACTAAATCCCTGTCTTCATCGTCAGCTGGCCAACGGGTTAGTGTTTCAATTCGTTCCTCTGAATCTTCATTCATCTTGATTTCAACTTCTTTAGTAACAGTTTTCGAGGGAAGAAGGTCGCTGAAAATATCTGTTGATTGCCCGTCTTGTTCAGTCAGCAGTCCAGCCACAAACTGCATCACAACCTTCCACGCGCCATCCTGGATGTGATCGGAAACAAAGGTCCCCAGTTCTTCGGAACTGTACGTGTCTACCAAATACTTCGCCGCGAAGAACTCCTGCATGGTAAGGTGTATAAAGCAATACTGCGGTCTTGGCTCTGCTAAAGGATGGTCTTTAGTATCAGGTAAACGGTGAAACAGGCCATTACTCTCTAGGCTGTTAACCTCGTGCGATTCAAAAATTAATCTTCCCTCTTGAATGCCATTAAAAGCAATTTTTCCCAGACTTGTGAACACCTCTTGCACCGAGGAGGGCAGTTTCTTAAACGGTTTAAGGAAGAACTGTTGTCCTTCAGTTTTATTGTAGCGATACTGACCATCATCGTAACTAAAGTAAAACAACTTCATTGCAGTGGAGTATATTTCTGTCAGTCTTGTTGGGAGGTAGTGGAGGCTGGTTATGCTAGTGTTGACAAGCAACTCTAACAAGCATGAACAAATGATGAAACAATTTACAGGAATGTAACAGAAGGCTAGAAGGTTTAAGTTACTGGTGATGTGTTGCTTTATGGTTTCCGCTTTGTCCGCCTCCTTTGTAAACTTCTCTACATAATTATTTACTTGCTCAGTTGAGAATCCCAGAATTTCAACTGTTTTGTCGAAGTGAAGACTTGCGATACATGACACGGCATTGGGTCTTGTAGTCGTTAGGATTGTCGCACCGGTAAGAATTTTTCCCTCTACTATTTTCTTCATAAGGAAATAAACAGGTATCCTTTCCTCTTCACTGTTTCTGTACGGAATGTCATCTTCATTTATTTTGGTCCTACCAGAATATTCGTCAAATCCATCAAAAATCAACAGTACTCGCTCTGGGTTGTGGCGGATGTAGTTCCAGAGCTCTTCGGAAAGAGCGGTTGAATACCCTGAGTGATCCAGAATCTCGCGAAGATTTAGTTCTTGGTTTCTAGAGTTAAACATTCTCAGCTTAATGAGAAAGGCAACTTTAAAATCGACTTGCGATTTTTGTGTTTCGTTGAAAAGGTTATCGGACGCCCAGTTGCGAAGAATCTTTGTGCTAAACATGGTTTTTCCAATTCCAGGACGACCGACAACAAGAATCTTCTGCTCTTTAGCATTAAAAATATCTCCTGGCGGTGTTGGTCGTAAACTTTCATTGGCTTTGTGGTACTCGTTTAGCTGTTCCACTCTGTCTCCTGAAAAGTCATACTTCGCTCTCCCTTTATAAACAATCAAATTGGTGAAGACTTCGTCAAGTTTTAGATCTCTTCTAGGTCCTTCGCCTGGATTATGAAAAGGTGATTTGAGGTCTCTGTAAGGTTTGTCAGTGACATCTCGGACATGTTTCTTCATACGTTCGATGAAAGGAGCGACTGAGGTTTCATCATAGTGGGTGATTAACTCTTGTGGTTGCGGTCCTGAAGAAAAAACACTCATTAGTTTGATAACAAAATTGATATTTTATTAATTCACTGATGACGAATAAAACGATAATAATAATAATATTTTCACCACTGTCTAAAATATGCATGTCAAATGTCAAAATATCACTACCGTAAATCCTCCTTCTTTGAGATGTGGTGGGGGGGCTCAATTAATTTAGAAAAGACGATGGTATCAGCTCTCCATAGAGAACTACAAAACCAAGTGGAAAAGCTCAAGTACAAGAAGGTTTAAGGTCATGTATGGAGGATCAGAATAAAATGCAAACTTCCAGTTGGTATGAAGCCATCCTGGATCATTCCACACGAAGTTTCACAGTTGTGATTGATTAATACAGTCTATCAATTATTCGTAAAGAATAATTAGGGGAGGGGAGGGGGGATTACTATGTACTATGGAACGAACCCAACAATGGATTCAATAAATCAGATGCCAAGATGTGGCAGCACTTTATGATAGTATGATTACCTTGATAATGAGGCCATGAATGGAAAACACAGGGTTCATTCAACATGTGTGCAACAAGAGATGCTGCCATCACACTTGCACAGGAAGACCAACTCTCTGAAGCTAACTGGGAACCATTTGCATAGTCAGCTATTCCTTTCACAATTAACCACTCAATTTGACAATCAAATGCTGCTGTAAATACTCCTGTAGGATAACAAAACAAACAGTACATGAGTTTTGGGAAAAGTCCTGTTTCATTCAAGTGTCTTCATCAGCAAAATAAGAAACTTGACCAGACAGTGGGAGATGTTGGCAGCCATTTTTGTATGAGTTTCATTATCGTGTAATTTAAATTTATCAACAAAGATGAGTGTGGGTGGAGGTGCTTGCAAGGCTTGTGGAGCCAGGAAACTGCAGTCGAGTGCAGATGCTCATAACCATAACAACCCTTCGAGTGGCAATAATTCAGGCACCATCTCACAGCTAACCAGTGGAGATTTTATTAAGTGGAACCCCGCCTTATGGCCACCTTAGTAATACAGTCACCTTGTTATTTTTGGCCTGGCAAAATGGCCATACATTTTCTAATGAAAAAACCTTGTTAACACAGTCACCCGTTGATGTGGCCAATTGCCATATTTTAAAATCCCAAACAGTAGAATCTTTTACAATAAAATATTTCACCCCACTAAAACGGCCACTTGTCAGAAATTTTGAAAACTGAAATGCCTGTGACATGTCAATTTCATTGACCTAGTAATTAAGCTGAGCTTGTTTTTCTACTGTTTTTAAATTATAGTCACTTACATTGTATTTTGTGGTGGTCTAATAGCCGATTTTTAAAAACTCTTTTATGTCATGACAGAGTTTCAAGTAGTTTTTACAACTACGGTACGTGATATCTACATTCCTGTTATTTATTTAAGAGAACAGAGTTGTACAAGAAGTGTGACAGCTATGTATGATGTGCTTGTCATTACAGTCCTCAAGTCATGAAGTTTGACCCTGCCCTTGTAATACAGCCACCCCCTTGACGAGGCCAAATTGTTTTGACCCATTAGTAACAGTATTAACGGGGTTCCTCTGTACTTACCAAAGGGAAGGCAGGGTAAGGAGCAGAACAATTGACAAGTACAAGCAACGTTAATAAGCTACGTGACTGTAATGGTATGACCTCAACAGAGAAGCTGTGAATTCCCCAGGGTCCCTGAAGAGCCTTCTCTTTTGAAAGACCAACTTAACTGGCCAGCAATGTCTAGAGTTAAACTTAGCCTAAATTTGATTTAGCCGCATAATGTTTTAGGCAATATGACAATTATTTATCTAGCAAAAACGAGAGGATTTCCCAATGAAACTGACAGACATGATCTTAAGTGCCACACTCCCGACCTTTTGATGCTTAATTTAAAGGAAACAAAATTTTTGCTTTCCTAGTAAAAGTATGATGCATGCTACTGTGTCTCTTTCCACCTCAAGCAAAGCTTGACCTGGCTGTGTGCACCTTCTTATAAAGACTGGCTCCAAAAAATCAGTCAACTCACCTTCTCCTTCATTTTCAATTGCTATTGCCTGAGGATTGGCTTCAGCAAGTTGATCACGTCGCTGTTCCGAAATGACTTGTTCTGGTCCACTCAGAAACTCAGCAGCAGTATGAACTTGAACTTGTTGAGCATCAGCCAGGTTCTTCAAAGGTGCTTGCCAGCCATCAGCACAATTCTTAATGACACCCAGGAAGCGTTTGCTCACATAACTCCTCATGCCAGTTGACTGCTCTTGACTATTGATCACCACTTTTGATGCATATGTTGCTAATTTGGCAGAAACAACAACATCTCCTAACTTGGATTTCTCAGGGTGAAGACCACTACATGTACCAACAGATATAACTGCTTTAGGTCTTAGCACAGTGGCAGCATTCTTTACAGAGACAAGAGAACCACCAGGACCACTTTTGTAACATCTTAACAATGCAATTTTAACTTGCTCTTGACTTTCACTCACGTCAGAAAAGTACACATAACCAAGATCATCAAAATAACATCTATACGGGTTTCTTAGCTCACTGTAACAAGTTAAAAACTCACAATCCTTCACTGTCAGTAACAAAACATCAATTGGGAGATCAACATGTTTTGAAGGTCTGGTTACTGCCTTAATCTCAGCCAAAGATGGGAGAACTTTATTAAGCTCAGGAGGGTCCCTAATGCACTCTTTTGGAGTCCTTTCCTTTCTTTCTCTCTTTCTTTTCTTTTTTCTATTTCTTTTTGATGTGGTTCTTTGGTTCTTTGTGCTGCTTGCAAGATTCTTTGAACTAGGCGGGAAACCAGTGGAAATCTGGTGAATGTTACCATCACTGCTCTCTGATCTGCTAGTTGTATCCTCAGAAGATTTGAATATCTTGGATTCTGATCAGTGGAGGAATAAAATAATTTAAAATGAGATAAATATTATTATAATAATATTATAATAGTGGTTTAGCTAAAAAGACCTCATGTTGAAAGGCAGTTACAAGTAAACCACCCCCCAGCCTTGCATGTATTAACCAAACAAAAGTTGTCCCCCCCCCTCCCAGGGTCTTCCTAGTTCTTACACAACCCCTCCACCCCACCACAACCTAAAAAAAGAAGGTACCCTTAAAGTTGGTCTTTCTTTTTCAGCCTTATTACTCATTTTACAGAGATCACATTTCCACTCTCAACTATAAGAGAACCTATTTTCTAACAACAAAAATTACCTTCTTTGTCTGAGTCTTCAGTCACATGTCTCTTTCTCTTTGTTGCTTGCATGACAGTAGGCTGATTTGACTTCACACAAACTGGAAGCAAAGCAACTATGATCAGTAGCACATTCGTCACAACCACAAGAAAAATAGTTAGCCAATGGCTACTGCAAGTGTACTGACTGGGTAATTTGAAGTTTTATATGTTACAGGTCAAAATTCAGTTCAGGTTAAAATTTTTAAACCTAGGGGTTGAGTCTTAATTTCCTATGTCTCCTAGCCCTGATTCAAAAATTTTTAGGGCTATGAGACAAAGGGAATAAAGAACTAACCTGAGGTTAAAAATTTTTAACGTGAATTGAATTTTGACATGTAACATATACACCTATAACAAGTTTTTGGGATAGTATTACAATGACAATACATGTAACAATAATGTCACACATAAATTTATGCTAAATTGAATATGGTCTGTTCTCAAATAGCACCCTGACATGGTCCTAACCCCAAGCAGATAAAACCATGAACAGTTTGGGAAAAATGCATAATTGATTGTTTGACCTCTATCTCATTTTGCTAGACAAGCTTTTCTTGGAGGATAATGAAGTATTGGTCAAACTTGTAGAGTATTTACGTAAAAAAATTCAATTTCTTCTGTATTTCTGAGGGATTACTGACAATATTGAAGTTTCTTATTTAGTCAAGAGGGACATGAAATATGATACATGGGATAATATGTGTGATTTTCCTGTGAAGGAACTGAGTGTTTTGATTGGACATTATGTGACACATAGATGTTTTACGGACAGCTCAGATTTGCTTATTTAATGATGGGTGGAATGGCAAGAACAATAGGGCCTTGTAAGCATTTCCTCCCTCACACCCCCCTCCCCACCCCCGCCTCCCCAAACATCTCTCATGCATTCGACACGCTCCTTAGTTCATTATACCCTTCCATGTTTTTTTCCAACTTTTGACATGGACAAGTTAGGGAAAATCCATCAACATCACTGGAAAGAGCGCGTTGAAATTAGAATTAAATTGCCATGTTTGAAAGTGATTCATGGAATAGTAACTAAGATATAGCCTCTCAAAGTTGTGAAATTTTACAGACATTTATATGGTGGGGGGCACAAACTTGCCCTCAACATACAGTGAAACCTGGTTAATATGGACACCAAGGGGACATGCCATAGTACCTGTTTTATTCGGGTGTCCGTATTAAGGGGTATCTCTAGAAAAAAGTCCCAGGTCAAACATCTTTCATCAAACTAAAGACTACACCGACATTTTTTCAAGGAAACGCTGTTTAATTTTTTATCTGTAACTTTAACATGTTCATGATCATTTATTATAGTCTCGAACTAAATCTACCTTTCAAGTAATTTTCTTGAAATACAACAATGGAATCCATGACTTTACTTTGTACTGATGCTCTTAGTTTGCCAACTCAGCCAGGTGGACTGAACTTTAGACAGGAGGTTTGAAAGGTTTTTCACTATTCTTCTAGGTTTTCACTGGTAAGATATTCAGTCATGGATAGTGAACATAGTGTGCAGATAACCAGTGTCCATAAAGCGAGGTTGACCATATATTGATACTTCAGAATATGTGACTCGGGATATAGAACAGTGACCTTTGTCTGTATTAACCAGTGTCCGTATTTAGTGGGCTTATTTTAAAGAAAACATATGACCATTTCATCGGGACAAACTCAACTGTCCGTTATTACACAGGTGTCCATAGAGTCGGGGTACAAACGTCTGAAAAGCTATATCTTTGCTTCCTTAAAACGTATTACTTTCAAATTTGGCAAATTTTACTAATTCAAGCAGTCGTTCTTTTCAGTGGTGTCGACGGATTTTCCCTAACTGATCCATGTCAAAAACCGTGGAAATGTCTATTCTCCCTCTCCCTTAAAGCTTATAGCGATGTTTGCCAACCCTTGTACGGCTAACCAATACCAAAGTGCAACAAAGGTGTAACTGATTATCCAATCAAGGAGTAACATGATTTCCCTCTTTCGACCATTAAAAGATTGTTGTTTTACAAACTACCACATGTTGGAACGCTTTATGAACGAGGCATAACACAAAAGGCACTTTTGTTTTTCAAAGAAGTGATGCAAATAAGTGCGGAAGTATTCTAAAGTTTAGCCTTACGCACTAGGGGGACCTGATATAACACTTCAACTTGCATACAATAAAAGACACAGTATACTAAGATTTAACTTAAAACAAAAAAAGGAATTAACTTCGGTTCTTACCTTGACAAGCATTGCAATGCAATGAGGAAAATCAACTTTACAGAGAAAGAACAACAGCAAGAGGCTGAAGAGGCCACGAGAGTTGTATGATGGGACGCTAGCAGAATAAATCAACTCAGCCGATATTTTCAGGTTTGTCCCAACATACAAAAAGTCGAAAGTTTACCACTGCAAGGGACCAAGACGACAACGAAAACACTGTAAATTCCACATGCACACCGGCGTCGATTAAACGTTCGTGTCTGGTAGTGCTTCGCCTGTCGATGCGTCTGGTCGAATCTTTGCATTCATTGGTCCAAAAAAGTCTCACGACTTACACGTCAAGTAAGCCGAAAAATTTGGAATTGGATCAGGAATTCTAGGTTAGTTGAATAGGTTTTAGTTTTCGTTTCATGTAATCTCCATGAACGTCATAAGTAAAGGAAATAATTAACAGAAGTATAGGAAATGAATCCATTTGTATGGTGCCTATAAATTGGTAGTGGTCCGTGATGTCACTTGGGTCTTACAAATTATACCATTAAGATGATGCAAAGCAACAAGAACAATATACTTTTGTTAACAATTAAACATTGCACTGAAAGGACAAAACATTGAATAGATGATATTTAGCGTCAAAAGCACTTTGCCTGTGTTTGCCTTCTGTTTTTGCTTCCCCAAACCAAGCCTGTTCTTGCAAGGCTTTAGATGACCTTAGATACCCGGGGGAGCGGTGGGGAGACTTACTCATCAAAGTCTTTGTAGAAGAACTAAGCCCAAACGGCCAAACCCTTAATATCCTTTGATGACTATACCAAAAACATACCTGGTCATATAGCTGCTATAGAATTAACTGATACCCTTTTCATATGCCTACAGTTCTTATGGAAAAGCCCTGGGACACGAGGTTGGCCTTCAGTGAAAACACTACATACCATCCCTTTTACTCACAGATCAGTAAAGGTAGATTTCGCAAGACGTGAACTGATGATAGTAATGTGATTTTCACACCGAGTTCTCCAATGATGAATAACGATTACAAAAACATCATTTGGGGTCGCCACGTTTGGGTAACTTTCACGGCTCCTGGTACATGCTGTTATAACAAAGAAAAAACAGTCTTCGTCACCCCCGCCCCCTGCCTCTTTTTTTACGGATTATCCCCAGTACAGTGCTGTTATTATAGGTAATCACATGATTTTTTTCGTGCAATTTGGGATAAATCAGCACTAGTAAATTTTTCAAAGACCCAACCAAATTGCACGAGCCTGGGCACGGGCAACGTGATGGGGCAGTCCCAGTGGACAATTTTAACGCCACGTCTCGTTTGGACAAGAAAAAACAATTTCAACTGAAAGTTTCGTTCGGAAG